GTATATCCTTGTCTTTCCATGAAGAAATTGCATGGAAATACAGACCTTGGGCTTTAACAGGATGTAGGTACATGTAACAAAGCCAGCAGTTTCAGAAACGGTCACCAAAGCGCTCAAGCAAACTCACTCTTTATATTATTGCATGCAGTTGTTGTTGTTGGAGACAACCGAATAAAAACTTTGCCAGCTTTTTAATAAAATGTTCCAAACAAAGGCTAATTTTAAAACACTTCTATCCTTGTTAACCCAAAATGATCAAAAAGTTGGCAACTTTAAATTGAGGAACACATTTGGCTGAACACTGCTTTAATATAGTCTCGATTAGATGCAGTCAAAAACCTGCACAGCATGTAGTTGCCCTTGACCTCTAAAAGGGACCCAACTTATAATTGTACCTGTAATTCCACCCGCACAAATACATATATGTGTAAGGACACACTACTGGAGATAGAATTGGGACATGGGGATCGAAAATAAAATTGGTTGCATTAAGTTTGTTTTCCTTTTGAAATGCTGAACTGGCCTTCCCTCAATAGACAATAACAATGAGAAGATACATTTGTAAATTTTAAAGCATCTGTCCTTTATTAGCAGCTTTATATTAGTGATAGGGGAGACAGTTAATGTTAGTTACATGTACATGGTGTCCACTTCCTGCTTGTAACCAGACCATAATTGTCAGAAATGGGGATTACATTTACATGTAGACCAAAACGTGGTTTTTTTTTATATTTTGTCGCAAATTTAACAAGTGGACACCGTAACTCACGTTAAATAAAATGAGAGATTTAGCTGTTAAACCATTATAATAACAGATAAATTGAACATTTTATGACAACAGTGTCTCACTGTAAGTGCATACCTCAGAGGGAAATTCATCCATTACAAATTATATTCCTGTGATGATCTTATATGGACCTCTTTTGACAATCTCTGTATCAAAATGTTACGTAAGTTACATCTGGACGCCAAATACGGTAGTGCTTCATTTACATTTATAACTTTATATTATTATTGAGCACAAAATTAGTCTTCTCAATTGATACTGACGTATTGACCCATTTTAACTAATTAATATATTCCAATGGGAAGTTGTCTCTTGTAAATATTAACTATCGTATTATGCAAAGTGCACAATGTAACTAATGCAACTTTCTGTAATCCAACATCAATTCAATTTTTTGAATGAATTAAAAACACGCTTAACAATTTATTTCCTCAGATGAATATTGTATTGAAGTTGTTAGAAATGGAATGAATTTTACAAATACAGGTAACCTGTATTCAAAATATATTTCTGGTTTCTGCACAGGGACGCCAGATAAACTATTTAACGTAAGTTACGTTTGGTGTCCACCTATTTAGCATATTTACTGGGGTCTTTATAAACCCTCCTTAGTATCCTACAGTAAGTTCGGATGATAGAGTCTTCAGAAGCATAATATCAGTTCCTTTATACACAATGACATAAGTTTTTAAACTTGACCTTTCCTTAATTCAGATTTAAGGGTGGGTCACCACTTTGGTGTCCATTTTTATTCAACATAATGAATGCCTAATTCATTACATGTATGTGTTAGGAGGGAAGGCCAAATACTCTAACAGTGATGTTGTACTACATGCGTACCAATATATCTAATCACAATTAGGACATTTGATCTACATGTACATAACAAAAATCAGTCATTCTACACTATGTAACTAACGATAAATGGTGTCCACTAAATGGTATAAATAACGTAAGTATAAAGCTACAGGGGTAGAAAAGTAAATAATAGCTAAATGGTTTTGAAGAGCACATTAGGCCTACTTTCTAAGGGTTATCTAGCAGTTTAAAATATTTACTGTGATATCCAGAGCACTAGGAGTACAAATGCCATGCATGTGATTTAACGTTAGTTACAGCTGGACACCAAAGTTGCATTAGTTACAATGTGCACTTTATACGATAGTTAATATCTACAAGCAACAACTTCCCAGTGGAATATTGCTGTTTATTAGTTAAAATGGGTCCCTTTGGTAGTATGGAGAACAACAATTTAATATCAGTTTTGGGCTCAATAATAATATAAAGTTATGTAAATGAAGGCATATGTGGTGTCCACATGTACATGTAACTTACGTAACATTTTGATACAGAGATTGTCAAAAGAGGTCCATATAAGATCGTGAAAGGAACATAATGTTTAATGGATGAATTTCCCTCGAGGTCCTTACTGTGAGACACTGTCATGACTGTGGTCATAAAATTTTCAATTGATCTGCTATTAAAATGGTTTAACAGCTAAATCTCTCATTTTATTTAAAGCTATAGTCCATCATTTGCAGCAATCCGAAAAGTAACTGGCGTAATTACTGTTGAAAAACAAACTTGGTTGAAAGATAGTAAGGGAACTAAACTCCCTGTGAAATTATTCTTTCTGGGAAGCTGTCATTTTGAAGTAATCAACGAAAGAAGGCATTTCCAACGGTGATTCTTAAGAAGCACCGTAGGAACATTTAAATTAGTAGTTCGTTTTGTTATTCAGCGCAGCGCGCACAAGTATTGGAACGACGCACACGCGCGCGCGGTTGTTATAATTCGTCGGATCAGTGCGCGACGCCGCGTATAGCTGCAATTCAAAACAATTCAAAACATGATTCAGTAACTTTTGATTTGAAATTGAGATCTTAGAATGCTGTTTTCTCGGAATGTACAGCTGAAGCTTAGCTGAAACTTCATCAGGTTAGTTGCTCAGTATCCTTCATTAGATTTTGAACACTGTTGTTGCTTCAAACGAACAAAATGCACTAATTACAAATGATGGACTATAGCTTTAACGTTAGTTACGGTGTCCACTTGTTAAATTTGCGACAAAATATTATATAAAATAAAATCGTCTAAGTTTTAGATTATCAGCAATGAATAGCCTAGTTATATTGCAATAAAGAAACTATAATAATCTCCATTTCTGACAATTATGGTCTGGTAACAAGCAGGAAGTGGACACCATGTAACTAAGTAACTTTCTCTTTATCACCAACATAAAGCTGCTAATAAGGCCCCCAAAAAAGTCTCCGGTTTCTGGTATGAAGCTTGCCCAAAAAGTGGTGCGGCGACGCGGCTTTTTTTTTTTTTTACCTGATTTTTTTGCTTCAAATGTCGGCTGATGACTGCAAATGGTGCCCGACTAAACTTAGTGCAAATATATGGGAGTCCAGAGAGGCCACATAAAGGTTATTCTCGACCATAACCCAATCTAAAAACATGTTAAAATTGTGCAGCAGCAGGATTCCAGTCAAACCAGTGAGTTTGGCGGTTTTGAGACATCATCTTTCATTGAAAAAAACTTTTTCATTTTGCCGACGCGCATGGCTACGGCGACGCGCGCGCATACCAGAAACCGGAGACTTTTTTGTTTGGCCTAAAGGAAAGATGCTTTAAAACTTGTCTTCTCATTATTATTTTCTATTGAGGGAAGGCCGGTCGAGCATTACAAAAGGGAAACAAAATTAATACAACCAATTTTATTTTTGATTCCCATGTCCCTATTTTATTCTCCAGTATTGTGTTCTATTATATACGAAGTACCATTTTGCAATGCCCATCTGCCGCATTGCCGATCCTGAAACAGATTGTATTCTGAATGGGGTCCTGTATTGACAGACCTAGTTCGAATATGGCCCCACTTTGAATGGCTCGGTGCGCATCGTGTGCTGCATGTTACACACAAGCCTATGGAAGTGGTGTGGAAATTACACACACGCCTATGGAAGCGGCTTTAGCCTCTTCCCATTGGCGCGAATTACTTTGCTACAGCTGGAAATAATTTTCGAATTGGGGCTGTATTTGAACTAGGGCCGGAATACATGTTCCCTCAGCGAAAATGTACTTTGTACAGTCGTACTCGAAGTTAATCGTGCGCTTTGTTTTTAAGATCAAAAGTTTTTGGATTTGGAAGATTTTGAGTAGAGGCAAGTGAAAATTACACATTTCATGGCTTGATCTGGTCGGGGACTGTGTGGGGCCTGAATGTAAGCCAAGAGGGTCAAGGGGTCGAGGGGGTCAGGGGTTTTTAGAACAACCCTAAATCCATAGCTGCCAACTTTTCAAAATCCAAATTAGTAATCAACCCGCCTTTTGTCCTCGCCAGGGTACGCACAAAATGCATACCATGTACATGTCACCAAAGTATGCCAAATCGGTGGAGCGTTAGAACGGAGGGTACCGTAGTTCAACGCTCCACTCAGTAGAGCTAATCCACGAGGTGCACACAAATGACACACCATTGAAAAATATTTTTAGTCTGGTCCTCAAGTACTCCACTGCGCACACCGCATTGATGTCTATCAGGTGCTTGACCGCATTGCTTATTAGACTTGTCACCAGTCCATCCATTATCGTAACATTTCGCCAGAAGTTTTTGGGCAAAAAAGATACTTTACAAGAATTTTTTGTTTTTTTTGTTAGGTAGAAAATGGGAATTTCGTAATTTTTTAGTGGCAATTCGTATTTTCGTAATTTGTACAAATTACTGTAGCTCTAGACAGGACATTCAGTCACATCCTTGTACTGAGTTGAATACTTATTAACCCTTACTCTCTGAGGGTAGTTTACTGCATGTCAATTGGTTATGCCAATGCCCTCCAGCTGCAGTTATTTGGCAGATAACAAGTCTTAACAGTGAAGGCTCCAATTGGCAGGAGTTGGAGGCCCTGGAGGGTGCCTGATACTGACCAGCTGGGGGCACTCACTTTGTTATCAGAGGACTCTCATTGTTCTCTGTGGCATGTATTGGAGTGTCTGTCCAGTTACCCTTGAAATGACATGGCAGATATTGGAGGGCCATGCAAAAAACATAGGAGATTTTCTTGAGGCACAATTGGCATGCATTGGAGGGTCAAGTAGGGTAAGGGTTAAAGGAGGGAATGTTTACTTAAGTACCAACATATTTTAACAAATTATACATATTTATACCAAATTTTGGATCAAATCGCAATTTAAATGTACATGTACTTACTCTGGGTCTGAGGGTAACACTGGTCTCCGGTAACTCACTGGTACGTCTAATTCATACCTTTCCTTGGTCTTAAGATTGCCATTCACTTCCATAAACTGACAGAAAACAAAAAAACAAACTATTTGAAAAACTTCTGAAAGTAATAAATGCCCCCAAAATAAAAATGTTCCTAACTCTTACAATATGTTTTGCAGTTTGTTATATGTACCGTTACTCAAGTCAAAGGCAAGGTTTGTATTATTTAACTATTTTCATAAACCCTCTGAGATCTTTCAAAATCCACCTGGGGGTTTAGAAGAATTGTGCAGGATTGGGGAAGGTACACCTCAGCCACTATTGTGCAGGATGGGGGAAGGTACACAGGCAGCCACTATTGTGCAAGATGGGGGAAGGTACAGCTCAGCCACTATTGGGCAGGATGGGGGAAGGTACACCTCAGCCACTATTGTGCAGGATGGGGGAAGGTAGACCTCAGCCACTATTGTGCAGGATGGGGGAAGGTACACCTCAGCCACTATTGTGCAGGATGGGGGAAGGTAGACCTCAGCCACTATATTGTGCAGGATGGGGGAAGGTAGACCTCAGCCACTATTGTGCAAGATGGGGGAAGGTACACCTCAGCCACTATTGTGCAGGATGGGGGAAGGTAGACCTCAGCCACTATTGTGCAGGATGGGGGAAGGTACACCTCAGCCACTATTGTGCAAGATGGGGGAAGGTACACCTCAGCCACTATTGGGCAGGATGGGGGAAGGTAGACCTCAGCCACTATATTGTGCAGGATGGGGGAAGGTACACCTCAGCCACTATTGTGCAAGATGGGGGAAGGTACACCTCAGCCACTATTGTGCAGGATGGGGGAAGGTACAGCTCAGCCACTATTGTGCAGGATGGGGGAAGGTACACCTCAGCCACTATTGTGCAAGATGGGGGAAGGTACAGCTCAGCCACTATTGTGCAGGATGGGGGAAGGTACACCTCAGCCACTATTGTGCAGGATGGGGGAAGGTACACCTCAGCCACTATTGTGCAGGATGGGGGAAGGTACACCTCAGCCACTATTGTGCAGGATGGGGGAAGGTACACCTCAGCCACTATTGTGCAGGATGGGGGAAGGTACACCTCAGCCACTATTGTGCAAGATGGGGGAAGGTACACCTCAGCCACTATTGTGCAAGATGGGGGAAGGTACAGCTCAGCCACTATTGTGCAGGATGGGGGAAGGTAGACCTCAGCCACTATTGTGCAGGATGGGGGAAGGTAGACCTCAGCCACTATTGTGCAGGATGGGGGAAGGTACACCTCAGCCACTATTGTGCAAGATGGGGGAAGGTACAGCTCAGCCACTATTGTGCAGGATGGGGGAAGGTACACCTCAGCCACTATTGTGCAGGATGGGGGAAGGTAGACCTCAGCCACTATTGTGCAGGATGGGGGAAGGTACACCTCAGCCACTATTGTGCAAGATGGGGGAAGGTACAGCTCAGCCACTATTGTGCAGGATGGGGGAAGGTACACCTCAGCCACTATTGTGCAGGATGGGGGAAGGTACAGCTCAGCCACTATTGTGCAGGATGGGGGAAGGTAGACCTCAGCCACTATTGTGCAGGATGGGGGAAGGTACACCTCAGCTATTCACAAGCAAGCAATTTTTTATCGTTATCCCGGAATTATATTTGCACATACGCGATTTTGTCGTGCGATAATCTGTGCCTATTTATATACACGCACAAATCAATGAGCATGCTTACATTTATGTGACAAAGTTGTTCGACCTATCGCACTAATTTAAAAAATTGCGCAACATATCGCATATTTGTTTGTTCACACATGCACGTGTGCGACATAGTCATTGCGACAAAATCACACGTATATTGTAAACAGGCCTTGTAAACTGTTGAATAGGATGGTGCCAGACTATTTATGCATTTGAGGGCATAAAAGGATTGTATGCCACTGGAAGATATTGAAGGATCCAGGCAAGTGTAGGCCCCAACCTATGGTGGACGAATTTGAAGGATTGAGGCTCTGGCTGGTGTTGCAACAAAAAAAATGATTTTGGATGATTCAGGCTTTATGCATGTATTATTTCGGCAGGCATCCAGCATACTAACCAGCCTCTTTACTCCAACTTTTTAGGTTCTTGGCATTGCCAATCCACAATACAGGATAACAGTGGCGGATTTCAACAAGTTACTCGGGCTAATGAACTAAGATCACTGAAATTTGATTACGTGATAACATGAAAGCAATTCCCAGTGGAGGATTTAAAAGGATTCAGGTGCTTAGAGTTTTAACTCTTTGCCGTTGGAAGATATTGGAGGATTCAGGCTTCCGTGTCGTCTGGGCGAGAGAGCTTGGGAGTTTATAGGTTCAATGGACGACCCAACTGCCATTTCTTTACTTTTTTTAGGATTGGAAGATATTGGAGGATTCAGGCTTCGTCTGGGAGAAATAGCTTGGGGAGTTAGGGTTAATGGACAGCCCAACTGCCATTTCTTTACTTTTTTTTTAGGATTGGTATCTCAAATTTGTGCTGGAAAGAAAAAGACTCAACTATTACTCCACTTTGTAAAAAAAAAAAAAAAAAAAAAGATGAGTAAAATCAAATACGGTTAGTCTCCAGCAATTATCACTTGGATGATTATATATAATGGCCAATTTTATTGCTGAATGGATATTGCTTTTTTTCCATTTCTATATTTAAATTTCCAAGTGCCAGTATTTTTGGGTTGGTCAGTTGAGGTCAAGACATCTTTAAACCTTCAAGTTCTACGGTGCTTGTCAATGTACATCTATGATCTATGGGGGTACACGCCGTACATGTAGGTCAAGTCAGAACCCAACAAACTTGAACCCATGACCAACTTCTAATAGATCTTTTAATTAATGCTTTGCAAATTGCTGAATTGTCAATGCGATGACAATTCGGGCGATTCACAATGCAGTGCGCCACCAAGAGTTTGCCATGGAGAGTTCATTTTTCCCAGTGCATTGTGGGAGATGGTCAACAAATTCGCAGCGCGGGACATTTGAAATTGTTAGTTTTTTCCAGTCAGTGGTTTCGTAAGCGTATGATTCGAGGATCTGTTTGCCCATTTCTTTCCTTGTTATTAATACGGTGTTTTTTTTGGAAGGCGGCAGAACACTATGCCCCAATCTATGACATACCGTATTAGCTCAAGTTGTCTACTGACACTCATTCAAATGGGCCATGTTTTGTCGACCGTAAACTTGAAAAATGGACTCTCCGTGGCAAACTCTTGGTGGCGCAATGCATTGTGAATCGCTCGAATTAAGCTCTTGGCTGTTTTTTTAGTAGTTAAGCCTAAATTTATTCTTTGGTTGAGAATTTCATGATTTACGATTTAATGTTGATAATACTTTCGACAGTTTCGCTCTAGTCTAAAAATTGTTACTTCTTCTTCGTTTTGCATTATTTAATTTGGGCCGTGAAACTCCAAGTTTGTCTGGCACCGACTTGGTCTGGGTCTGACTTGGTATGGGTTCGTATAAGTTGGATCTGAGTTGGCCCAAAATGGTCCATTCTCCATTAACAAAATGTTTCTGTACATTTACTTCACAATATGTACATGTAGGTCTACATTGTACATACACTTCTGCTAGTTTCCCATGCCTATGTGGCCTCATTACTTTGAATACATGACTACGCAGGCTAGGATTAAAAGTCACAAACCACACACCATAGAGCAAAGACCATGCACACACTAACAGGTCTAGATGCTATACGTAAACATTATGCAATGCACATGTATGCACTATTATTATTCATGCAAGAGCGAGCATGTGAGTTATGCTCAAAATTTTACGGGTAGGTCTGTCGGATTCACCAAGACTGGATTTTGGTTTGTCTCATCGATAGTGTCCTCTACCGTTGATGTCGTTCGGCTGCGCTTGCCAGTGCCATGCATCCAGCGCTAGGTACGGGTGACTTAACATTTCTCCTGACGACGGGCAGAGCATACTGTTCGATACGTTGAGTCCCTCCGCTTCTTTTCAGAACCACACATATTCACAAAAGAGATTTATTCACATGGTGCTACCGCAAACTTATCTTGTCTTGACTTAACATAGACAAACATAATCCAAATCCAGTCTTTGGGCCAAGACTACCTTTAAAGGGAACGTACAACATTTGCTTTTGCTGCAATTTTCAGAAATAAATGGATTTGGAGATTAGTATGTTATAGCAGATATTGTTAAACTGATGTTTCAAGTTTGGGATTGTAGATGCTGGAAAAACCAAGAAAACTAATCATGTTCTTGTAGTCTGGTTCCTTGACCCCACTTAAGATGAAACGGGGCAATTTATAGACTTAACCCTAACCCCCTAGGCCCTTGTTGCTTACAACCATCCTCAATCCTCCAAAATCCTCCAAAATTTTTCAACTCCGCCTAAATTTTTCAAAATTGTCAGACAGTCCTGCCTCAAAATGCATTCATCCTCAATCCTCCAAAATCCTCCTCATCCCAAAACTTTGCACTCGTGTTTAAATGAAGGATAACCAACGCCAAATCCTTCAAAATCATCAGACAGTCCTGCCTCAAAATGCATTCATCCTCAATCCTCCAAAATCCTCTTGTGCTTCATTCACCATTCATCCTCAATCCTCCAAAATCCTCATGTGCTTCAATCACCATTCATCCTCAATCCTCCAGAATCCTCATTTGATTCAATCACCATTCATCCTCAATCCTCTAGAATCCTCCAAAACCGCCAGGAGGATTTTGGAGGAGTGAGGTGGGTTAGGGTTAAGGGAATTGTTAGGTCAAATAATCGGTCTAGCAGGTGTGTAATCAATTGCAAAGAAAATGCAGAATAACTAAATTAGGAGCAGTTTTTGAAAAAAGCCAGTTTTCTCCAACGCTGGTCGGCCGACAAATTAAGTACAAATTAAGTCTATCGGATTTTGGATCGAACAGCAAGAAACCGGAGAAAAGAAAATCTGAACAAAAACAAACGCTTTTCCACAACAATGCACAAATGCCAAAAATAATTGCAGTATTACCAATAAGATCTACAGATACTCACTTCAACCTGGTCTTCGTTCCATTTATCCAACTGAACAGACATCACTTTACTTATGTGGACACCAAGCTTGCGATGCACTGAGGCACATGGTACACATAAGAACACGCCCAGGTTGTGGGAACACCAATTCGCTTGGGCTGCAAACAGAGATTAGAGTAAAATTGGTGTGTCGAAAAGCTGTGTTGAAGAAATCAAAATCAGGATGGTTTTTCACTTGATATTCAGTATCAAGTACATGTATCATGGCTATGGGAGATATTCACTGGATTAATGTCCAGGAAAAATTAAATTCCACACCGGGTACCTCTAGATGGTAGATGCATCTAGTTTTCCTGTAATTTCCTGTAATTTCCATCTGTTTCCCCGCACATGATGCAGCCATAACAAAGGTGCATAATATTCGGGAACAAAATCGCATTCGAGGGTCTGCCGAAGAGCGCACCAATCAGAGCTTCGGCAGATCCCCGAATGCAATTTCTTTTCCCGCATATGATGTGGCCATAACACAGGTGCGGTGATTCTAGAAGTACACAACATGCACGCACGACAACCGTGTTAAACTTTTTCTGGAGAAGCCACCGTAATCATCAATATTTCTCATATTTTAGTCACCTTTGTTCTGTTTCAACTCAAGTTGATCATTTGTGAATGACTGCTGCATGGTATGAGGTACATACATGTGTAATGGAATCTGGGTTGGGATAATCTAGAGGGAAATGGACCATTTTTGTAATGCACTGGAGATACACTGGAGATACACAGTTATACACATAATTTCAGGACTCTTACGATCTAGTTTTTATAACGTAGTTGTAGCTCCATTGATAAGCATTGGAGCTGGAGTTACTCAAGCTTGTGATTTTGCAATACCATAACCCTAAGGATACTTTTAATAGTTGAAAATAACTCTACGGATGCAGTAACGATAGCCACTAGCACTAACCCGAATGCCTACCCCAACTTAGAGCTCTCCTAGATGAGAAGAAAATCTCGCTCAACGTCTGTAGCAAAATCGCTACAATCTGCATGATCAGTTTCAGGCGTCCGAGGGACGTTTACCACTCTGGCTGTTCTACAGAGCTTGTGATAGTACTAGCCCAATTAATGTGTTTGATTTTCACATTTAGACTTTGTTTGTAGTTTATTTCTGCTTAAAAACCACACTCATCCTCTTTAAAGTGATAACAAATTATTCGTGTAATTTCCAGGTTCATTTTGCAGATGTTAACGAATCTAAATTCTAAATCTAAACACGAAATTACACGAAAAATAGACGTCTGAAAAAGGGGGAATAATTTGTTATCACTTCAGAAGAGGGTGAGTGTGCTTCTTAAGCAGAAATAAACTACAAACAAAGTCTAAATGTGAAAATAAAAACTTGACAAAGTTCTACATAAAGGCGATTGTGTATCTACGGGCCCGGTTCCTACAAGTGAAACAAATTCCACTTTTAAATTATTTGACCTGGTACCAAACCAGTTGGCAACATTAAGAACATACAGATCTATGTCATAGACAAAGGGCAGGGTTTTGAATTTTTGAGGGAAATTTGGGGGTATAATGACGATGGCAACAACAAAACACAACACGAAAATAAACATGGCGATCACCGTGCGATGTACCGTGAGCGTGCAAGTCGTGCTACACGGTACCAATTGGCCCGTAAACTGCGGAGGAAAGTCGTAATTTCTACCCCAAGAAATGGAATGATTTCCATATTTGGCCATCACTTGACACCCTGTGCACAAACCCTATGAGACTGGTCTGAAAATTTGTGTTTTCTCAGTAAATACTTCAATATTTGACTTTTTAGAACATATTATCACTTTCTGATGGCTGATACATGTAGGTCACTGAAGGGAAAAATTAGGTGGCATTACACTGAGAGAAGTCTGCTTTGGGTTGACAATGTCATTTTTTAGTAATAAAAAAAGCTTGATTCTAATTTGACCGCAACAAAACAGGGGCCCTACACTACATGTTGCTGCTTTAAAGAGGGTGAGTGTGCTTCTACATGTAGGGCCTAAGTTCTATGTGAAAATAAAAACTTGACAAGTTCTACATATTCGGGTACATGTTCCAAGTGTGGCCTTTATTTACGGAGGTAGTCCAGTAAATTGGCCACATTTATGGGGCTTAGTCAGTGATGCACTCAAGAGGGGGGGGGGGGCCTTGGTATTTTTGTTCCACGATTTGACCTTGGTGATATAGGCCTATGTGGCCTATTTTCAAGTAGAATAATAGGGGTGTAAGTGGCACCACCAACTTCAAAATAGTCCGTCCCCCCCCCCAAAAAAACGAAACATATCCCCCAAACATATCCTGGGTGCGCCACTGGCGATAGTATGTACTTAGGCCTATGTAGAGTATGACCAGATGCATTCGGGCTACACTAACTCTAGCTACACTAACAGCAGCTCCACATGTGTGGCCTTGGTATAGCTTGAGTAACTCCAGCTAACATGCTCATCAGGAATTCACATAACTACGGCATGAGAATGTGGTCTATTTAAATCTGCCCAGAGGGTAGCCCCATAAGGCCAAAAAAAAAGTCTCCGGTTTCTGGCATGCGCGCGCGCGTCGCTGTAGCCATGCGCGTCGGCAAAATGAAAAAGGTTTTTTTTCAATGAAAGATGATGTCTCAAACCGCCAAACTCACTGGTTTGACTGGAATCCTGCTGCTGCACAATTTTAACGTGTTTTTAGATTGGGTTATGGTCAAGAATAAGGTTTATGTGGGCTCTCTGGACTCCCATATATTTGCACTCAGTTTAGTCGGTCACCATTTGCAGTCATCAGCCGACATTTGAAGCAAAAAAATCAGGTAAAAAAACAAAAAAAGCCGCGTCGCCGCACCACTTTTTGGGCAAGCTCCATACCAGAAACCGGAGACTTTTTTTTTTGGCCTAAATGTGGCCTATTTACTGGACTACCTCCGTAAATAAAGGCCACACTTGGAACATGTAGAACTTTGTAAACTTTTTTTTTCACATTTAGACTTTATTTGTAGTTTATTTATGCTTACGCATACTCACCCTCTTTAAAGGGATGAAAAATGAAACCCCCTTTTTCAGACTTTTATTTTTCGTGTAATTTCGTGTTGGAATTTAGCCAAAGTGTGTAAACGAACCTGGAAATTACACGAAATATAGACGTCTGAAAAAGGGGGGACTAATTTTCTATCGCTTTAAAGAGGGTGAGTATGCTTCTAAAGCGTAAATAAACTACAAAAAAGCCTAAATGAGAAAATAAAAACTTGACAAGTTCTACATGTTTGGGTACATGGTCCAAGTGTTGCCTTTATTTCCGGAGGTAGTCCAGTAAATTGGCCACACTTATGGGGCTACCCGGAGGGCAAAAGATGAGTAATCATAGAATACAACAGTGGTAAAAAAACTGTAGTAGTAGGCCTAGGGGCCCTATGTAAAAAAAAAATACCCAACTTCCAAGGGAAAAATGGGAAAGATCTGGCCATCACTCATTTTTCCCTTTAGTGACCTATCAGCCATCAGAAAGTGCTAATAATAATATGCCCTAAAAAGTCAAATTTAGCAGGGAAAATATTGAAGGATTTACTAAGAAAACACTTACTAAGACTTAGAAATTTTCAGACCAGTCTCATCATGCTCATACGGTTTGTGCACAGGTTGGTTGTCAAGTGATGGACAGATGTGGGAATCTTTCCAAAATGCTAAAAAACGGTCTTGACGGTGCGCCAGTGTTTGGACTAAACTCCTGAGTAGGTTGGAAAACCAGACGTGTGCGTGTGGCCTTACCAGTGGGGCTGTTGTGCGCTTTCTTGAAAATCACGCATTCTTAAGAATGCGCATGCACATTCTTATGATTGTGCAACTGGATCCTTGCACAATCTTCGCAAAAAATAACTCTTCCAGATTGAGCGCACATTCTTAAGAATGCGCGACAAGATAACGGTCTTGTCGATACCGAGCACCTGCTGCGCTTGGCAAGTCTAGCTGCATCCTCGTTCACTGATTCTTAATAATTATACTGTTGCAACGCAAGGCGCTGAAAAGTAGAGTGGATATGAAAAGTATACACGTATTGATATGGGGGGGGGGACCGGGAAAAAAATAAGAGACATAATAATAGTGGAAAGAATTCTGATTTTTGGGATAATAAAAGCGGGGGGGGGGGGGGGGGGGGGGGGGGAAGAACGTAAGAATGAAGAATGTGAAGAATGAGAATGAATACTGCGACATCCCATAGTGCTATTGCTATTTCCCATTTAAATTGCCACCAATTTATTGTTCACACCCCACCTTAACGTCGCAGAGCTGGATTCTCTGTCAAAAGAGCAATTTTGGCAGCTTCTGGACATCGTTTTTTTTCGTGGCATGCATATGATACATACAGGGAGTTGTAACTTGTCTAGCCTAAACAAAGCACTTCCCAGACTAGTTCCCAGTCCTTCGTTATTACAAAACTTCCCATAGTGGGCAGAAAAAAAGCAATAATTAAAGGTTTAATTTGATTCAAATTATCGTAGATATAAGTATACGAGTACAGAAGCATAGAACATTTTCTTTCCTCTTTATATAAATTGTTTCCCTTTTAACCGCTATACATTTCATTTAACATAATTATGTCGTGCAATGTTTGCTAAGATTGGGCAAAATTCATAAATTGTGCATGAGATATTCCCACGCAATCTTAAGAATGAGCGCTCATTCTTAAGAACGCGTGTTCATTCTTAAGAATGCGCGCTCATTCTTAAGAATGCGCGCGCATTCTTAAGATTGCGTGATTTTCAAGAATGGGCACAACAGGGCTACAACTTAGTAACACTAGCATGACTAGATTCCCTACATTAAGCAAGAAGTATAGCCTACCGTCATGACTTTGTTTTCCTACGTTGTCGTCGAAAACGATTTTATCACCACAGTCTGCGCAAACATCATTCCCTGGCTTTTTCAAAACTTCTAACAGTCTTTTTACTAGTACTGGATTAGAGGCAGACATTTTTCCAACAAGGAAAGTCGTTAAGTTGCTGTTGTAATACGGTTGTATCTTCAGTCTATGCTTCAGTCAAGTAATCGTGTATCGTTCTAGCCAGATCTGTGACATGTGAGTGGCGTACGTACGTGTGTGCAGGTACTAGCTGAAGTATAGTGCACGTTAGCGCCACGCGCCGATAATTAAGGTGATGGTATCGACTAGTTCTGCAGTACGTACATGTATGTGCACAAGTTTGCACACAAAACGCAAGGGCGTTTTTCGTGATACGCGTACGACGTGAATCGTCATTATTTCCGCGTTGAATGATGCTTGTATTGTGCCTAGACAATTCCTGTTAGAATATTGTGCTGTGGTCGGCAGGTACCTGTTTTTTTATTAACAGGTGTCATGGACGGGTACGGGTCGGGAGATGGCGCACTCCAGATTATTCGGACCCAGCAACAGTGTAATAATGGACACGTTTCCTCGACTGCATGACTTTTCTTCCGCCCGGGCCGGCTATTCTTCGAAACGCCTCGTGACGTCATTGGGACTGATGTATCAAACTACTCAAAATAAATAGAACATCAATTTCTTCGAAACGGGTCTAGGGATCAAAATAACATATAACCCGGTGTAAAACTATACCGTTGTCTGAATATTGGAAAAATGTTGTGACGTCGTTATGACGTTTTGGGTATTAATTTACAATTTTTTTTGGGGGGGGGGGGGGATGGAGCTGGATATTCCCCTTGACAACATTTTGATACAAGAGCACGAAGCAACTTGACCTTTACTTCCGGTTTGTATAACTCGCATACGGACACGGGCCCAGGCGTTGCTAGACCATTTTGAATGGGGGGTGCCATCATGAAATTTGCCAACGGACCGTCACGCAAAATGAGTGTAACTGATAATTTCCGCCAAAAATAATCCCTTTAACTCCGTTTCCAATTTCATCCAAAAATAAACGAATGGTTAATTACGTTGATTACTTTGAAAGGATTTAATTTGTCAGTGGGATGTTCAACTTAAAAAGTAATCGTCAAAATTTGGCCTTATCATATTGACAAGATTTGGACATTTTTTCTCGTCGCAAAACTGCGTGTACACGCTCAGCACGTGTGTGCATACCTTGCTCGGGTTCTTTGCCGGCCGCGTAATTTTTTTTTTTCCTAGGAGGGTTAGGGGCAATGTCATGAATAATTCAGTTTTTCCTTTGAATCATTGCAAGACTTAGGTTCTCGTTCTATTTTCCCCTTAATTTAAAATTTAAATTATTTCGGTGATAAATTTGGAGAAGAAAAATAGCTGATGAAAATGAGCAGCGACGACGTGGATTCGAACCAGGGATCTTTGTATCCATAGCTCATCTCGCTATCCACTAGGCTACTGTGTGGGTAGCTCGACGACAACCGTTCTTTAAAATGCTTTAATGTATTGTAACTAGTTGAGTAACTTGAAAAAAAGTAAGACTGCTGCAAACTGCTTACTGACTGGATGGACCTGAAATATATAATTCTAAAAATTAATGTGGCCTGACGTTGCGAACTTAGCAAGTTCTTCTTTAGAGGCTAAAACAGAAATGACAGAGGTACATACATTGACATGGGGGTGCACACAAACATGCAGGCCTGAAAGAAGAAACACAAAAGGAGGATTAGGTGGGAAAGGTGTGGAAAGATGCGGGGGAGGGTGGATGAGAGAACAAAGAAACAAAGGGAGATGGCAAACCACAAGGGGTCTGGTATAAACAGAGGAGGGACCAGAAAGGAAGAAGGATCAAAGGTCACAGGGAGTGGGTACGGACAAAAGAGTGTGAGAGTGAAGGGGGATGATGCGGGGGGGGGGGGGGGACAGTATGGAGGTGGAAAGGGATGAAAGATGGGGGAAGATGGGTAAACACAAACAAGGAAGACCAGGTGGATTATCTGTAACAGAAGACAATGGAGGAAGAAAAGGATTAATCATTTCCAAGTTGGATGTTGAGACCATGTGGTTGAATAGTTCGAAGACGATTCATCCACACTTTCTCTCTGCTGAGGCGAACTGAGTCATTGCGATGGCCAAGAGATTCAATGCCCTGCAAAATCATATCAGAAATGGAGTGGTTAGGCAGGTTGAAGTGATGACCAACAAGGCCGGGTGTCTAGTTTCTTGGTGTTAACTGTTGACCGGTGGGCATAGAAACGCTTCTTGATCGTATTCTTAGTCTCACCTACATACTGCACTCCACAGACCCTGCAAGAAATGAGATATATGACATTAGAGGTGTTACAAGTGATGTTACCAATGGTTCTGTGGGTAGTGACAGAAGAGTGGCCAGAAAAGGAGTCAGACTCCTGGATATGAATCTGGCAGACAACACATCTGGAACTGCACTTGAAAGTACCATGCTGGGTGGGAGGGCCCGCATCTAAGGATGGGACTTCAGCTCGAACAATCAAGTCCCGTAGATTTCGAGGACGCCTGTAAGCCAATGGGCCGTTGGGGATGGCGCGGGCAAGGCGATCTGAAGTATGGAGGATATGATAATTGTCATTAGTGATTTTGCGAAGGGGAGGGAGATTGGGGTGAAACGTGGTAACGAAGGGAATCATGGGTTTGGCCATGGCATCAGGGGCCTTTCCCGTGAGAGCTAGATTTCTGGGGATAGCTTTAGCTCTGGCAATGGCACGATGAACTTGGCGAGAGCTGTGACCCCTGGCCACCAAGTTGTTCCTCAGTATCTGTGTATGGCGGGAGAAATCAGCATCATTGGAACACATTCTTCTGAGTCAGAGTGCCTGGCTAAACGCTATGCCAGTTTTGCAGTGCCTGGGGTGACAGCTGGAGGAGTGGACGTACTGGTGGGTGTCTGTGGGTTTGGAATACAGGTCAGTGGTTAGTGAGTTGCCTTGCTTGCGGACGGTGACATCCAGAAAGTGGGTTTGGTGAGCCGAGAACTCCGATGTGAATTTGATGGCTCTGTGGAAGGAATTGATGTGGTTAGTGAAGGTCAAGAGACTGTCCTCATCACTGGTCCAGATGAAAAAAACATCATCAATATATCTCCACCAGATCCAAGGGCGACATGGGGCCGAGGCAAGAATGCGTTCTTCGAGGTCACCCATGAAGAGGCAAGCCGTGGAGGGGGCCATGCGAGTGCCCATTGCAGTGCCGTGTACCTGTAGATAGTGTTCACCAAGGAAGGAAAAATTGTTCTTCGTTAGTATAAGTCTCATGAGGGTGCCAACATCACTGATGGGAGGAGTAGTGTGTCCTGCCTTGGCCAGAGCCAAGGAGCAAGCACGAACACCATCCTCATGTGGGATGTTGGTGTACAGAGATGAGACGTCGAAAGTCCCAATGATGGCTGTGCTGGGAATCTGGTCCTTGATTCCTTCAAGCTTGCATAGGAAGTCTGGGGTGTCGTGAATGTATGACGAAATCTGTGGGACAAGGGGTTTGAGAAAACTGTCAATGAACAGGGAGATGCGTTCCGTGGGTGAGCCATTACCGGAGATGATGGGTCTACCGGGGTTGCCAGCCTTGTGAATCTTGGGTAGAAGGTAAAATCTGGCAGTCCTACAATCACAGGGAGAAAGAAATTTGTGAGCTTTCTTGGACAACTGGTCACGTGATCGCATATCGTCAAGTACCTGTTGTATATCTCGACAGAAAGTGCCTGTGGGGTCAGAGTCAAGGCGGGTATAGTTAGTGCGATTATCCAACTGGCGGTGGGCCTCATCGATGTACTGCTGACGATCCATGATGACCACAGCTGAACCTTTATCTGCTGGCTTGATGATGATGTCGGTGCGAGAGCGCAAGGAGTTGAGAGCCAGGCGCTCCTCTCTGGGGAGATTATCATGAGTCCTGTGGGGGAAGTTGTCCGGGTTAGTGACTTGGGAATTGATAACTTGAACGTATGTCTCTATGGCTGGCACACGTATTCCGTGAGATCTTGGCTGAGCTGAACCTGGTTCACAGAACGGGGAGCGGGACAAAAAATGAGACCCTTGGAGAGAAGTTTGTGCTCTGCGTCAGATATTGATGAGGAAGAAAGATTAACTACAGTGTTGACAGGGGGTTCTGGCGGTGGCGTGGTAGATGGGGACCTAGGACGTCGTCTGAAACGTCTGTGTCTGCGTTGCTGTTGCTTGGCAAGCAAGCCACCATCTTCTTGTTTCTCCTGTTGAGTAGGACAGAGTCAAGGCATTGAATCTCTTGGCCATCGCAATGACTCAGTTCGCCTCAGCAGAGAGAAGGTGTGGATGAATCGTCTTCGAACTATTCAACCACATGGTCTCAACATCCAACTTGGAAATGATTAATCCTTTTCTTCCTCCATTGTCTTCTGTTACAGATAATCCACCTGGTCTTCCTTGTTTGTGTTTACCCATTTTCCCAATCTTTCATCCTTTCCACCTCCATACTGTTCCCCCCCCCCCCCCCCCGCATCATCCCCCTTCACTCTCACACTCTTTTGTCCGTTCCCACTCCCTGTGACCTTTGATCCTTCCCCCTTGCTGGTCCCTCCTCTGTTTATACCAGACCCCTTGTGGTTTGCCATCTCCCTTTGTTTCTTTGTTCTCTCATCCACCCTCCCCGCATCTTTCCACACCTTTCCCACCTAATCTTCCTTTTGTGTTTCTTCTTTCAGCCCTGCATGTTGTGTGCACCCCCATGTCAATGTATGTACCTCTGTCATTTCTGTTTAGCCTCTGAAGAAGAATTTGCTAAGTTCGCAACGTCAGGCCACATTAATTTTTAGATTTAGTTGAGTAACTAACAACAATGCTGTTGATGTCATTGTCCGTCATGGATAAACATGAATTATTCATGACATTGCCCCTAACCCTCCTAGGAATACAAATTACGCTTCCCGTCCCTAGACTATGGGAGGGCTAGGGGGGTCTTTATATCCTGAAGTGGAACTCTGAACATGCATATGCGAGGGCGGAGCGCTCGAAGGGCTGATGAATTTCAGCTTTGATTGGACAGATTTTGCGTGACCTGCACTCACGGCCATGCGCCACGACCCTGTATGCAAGGTTTTAAACGGCCGTTAGGACTGAGTCACACTCAGTACTCTTTTATTCTCATTCATAAATGTGAGGATTTTTTTGAAAAGCGTAATAATGTATCGGAAAAAATGTAAAGCTTATCTGTTTTGTAAATTTTCAATTCCCGTCACTTGTTCAGGCTCTGTTTCGAATTCACGAAGAGTCAAATTGCACAGTACGCGACACTCAATGATTTGAACACATTAGTATAGGCTGTAATATGTACTTTTGCAATTTTTTTTTGCTAATGTGAGGGGCCCACTTTAAGTGTCAATCTCTGAACCCAAGAGGGCGCCCTTTTTAGAAAGTGCAGTGCTCTTGAGCACTCTGCATGAAATAAGTGCAGGATAGTATAGTAATTGGACGCATTTTGAATAAGTACTGTACGGGGTGACAT